AGCAGTACCAGCTATAGCCAAAGAATGGTTTATGGAGCCAAAGGACTTGTCTTTAGTTAATAAGTGTTCACAGAGCTGCTAGGGAGGAACTGATGTCTAGTGCCATCCACAGTGAGAATAACGACTATTTCTCTGAGCATTCAATGATGATACTTACTGACCTTAAAGAACAGAGAGCTATAATCATCACTGTTGCTGCTTCAACCATAAGGATATAAAGGTACTCAAGACTGATTAGGACCAAAGACAAAAACATGGCTCCATATATCCATCCCTTTTTGGAATAGTTGAATGCAAGTCTCCAGGAAGAACAGAGAATAGGATAAAGCCATCCTCTTCTTATTTCTGATTCAAATTTCTGAATAAGGACTTGCTTATAATGAAGTCAAACAGAAGCACTATGGCACTGTCCTGATCTTGTAAGTACTTAAAAGTTGGTAGATAAAAATAAATTGAGTAAGGCTCTACATGAAATACGACAACTTAAAAGTAGAACTCTAGGGCTGGGGGTGTGGGGTAGCTTGGTGGTACAGTGCTTGCCTAGCACACACAAGGCTCTGGGCTTAATCCCCAGCATCACAAAAATTAAAAAGAAGAAATCTAGATTGTATAAAAGAGAGAACTCTACTAGGTCTTAAGAGCTAAAATGACACAAAGAAAGTGGTCTTACTGTTGATATAGAGAAGTGATTTTTAAAAGCAAAGTTGCTGGTACAAGATAGAAATTATTCAGAAGTAATCCTCATAAAAAATTATCACTCACCTAGAATTAATGGTAGCTAAGAGACCAAAAGAAGAAAAATTACAGAAAAGTATATTTAGTATAATCTCAGTTTTCTAAAAGAAATGTATTTTAAAAATTGTTTAGGTACAGAAAAAAGTCTAGAATTAATCCTGGCCATTCCGGGGAAGGGAAGTGGGGAGAGAATTACTAAATTCATGCTTCTTCCTACATATACCTTTGTGCAATAAGGTGGCATTACTTCTCAAACTTTTATTTTTATTTTAGGAGCTTCAACACTTAGAAGAAGAGGTAAGTGACTGGCCCAACTGTTCAGATGAATGGGACAAAGGCTAATAACAAGAATAGTCATCTCTCAAACATGTCCTGAGTGCTATACTGTGCTGAGTACTTTTGAGAAATTCTAAAACTCTAACAACTTTCAGGGGTAGGCATTCTAGACATTTTACAACTTTGCAAACTAGACTTAAAAAAGACAGGTAACTTATTCAAAATTGCACAAGAGTTGGATTTGACCTGAATCTGACTCCAAAACCAATATTCTATGCTGTGAAGAATCAGAGATGACCCCAAGGTTGAGTAAAGTGTTTGACTAGTGTGTGACTAACCACCTCAAAATTGTTCCTCTTAACCTTATAAAATGGCAACTTCACTCATTTGGAGAAAAAATACACAAAGCAAAAATTCAGATTTAGTCAACATAAAATTCACTTACTAACTCTCAGAATTCTTGGTAAGTTGACACTATTAGTTTGCGATTTTTCTTCAAGATCCAAATAAAATAAACAATTCTACATTTCAATTATTTTGATTTTACAATGTTTAGAAATTATTACAATGTTTAGTATTACAATATTACAATGTTTAGAAATTACCTTCGCACATGTATGCAACCCACCCTTTGTATTTAACATGTATACACGTATTTTCATTCCATGTAGCTGAACATCTTCCAAGCCCTTATCCTTGTTGTTCTTTTCTGTGCCAGTCCTAAATATCACCGCCGCACCAAGCTAGTGAATACACCCGGACTGCCACACCAACACCTACTTATGATATCCACAAGAACCCCAACATATTGAGAACACACTAGAAAACAAGACTGCTAGCAATCAAACCTGGCAATGTTACGTGATTTAAACGACCGCACTTTATAAGTCAGTAAAAGGAAGTAGATTAAAATAGAAGTGAAGATCCAGCTAAAAGACACCAGCGATTTCTTTCGAGACACTAAAATTAAAATGGTTGAGTGGGACGCATAATAAACACTTTAATAACTGATGTTGCCAAGAAATAACGCTTCACATTAAAGTAAAAAAGATCTCTACCCTAGCCACTTTACATGGTTAAAAAACAAAACCCAAATGTGTATCTAATTAAGAGTGTCCTCCAGCTTTCCTTTGCCCGGCCTTCCATTGGCGCGATGGCTTTCCGGCCGTTCCCTGGTCCCCGATTCCCTGGGCATCACCTACACCTGCAAAACCGCGAGCGTCCAACCCCAGGCAGGGCGCCGCAGGTCCCTGTCATCGCCTCCGGTTTCTGGGCCTCAGTTTCCCCCCTTAACACCCCCGGGGCGCGTCTTCTGGCGCCTCCTTTGTTTCTGGCGGAGGTCCGGAGGCGAGCCGGGGCTTCCCAGAGGACCGCAGGAAGCCACGGCCTCCCGGGAACCTGGCCCTCGCACTCACCTGCTGGGTAGGAAGCCTCGCCAGGCCCGGCTCCGGCCCCTGCACCGTCGGACCCTCCATCTCCCTCGCCCACGTCGGGGCCGTTGCCACAGTTCCAGAGGAAAGATTTGAAAAGCCCGCCCCTGGCTGGAACAGAAGAGGACGCCAACCGCCCGGCCGTACCAAGTCCGGGCCGCAGGGGGACGGGGCGCCGGGGACGCTGCACGCACGCGCAGTGGGCCCGCGGCGCGCCTCCCGCCGCCAGAAGCTTGAGGAAACCGAGATCCCAAGCGCAGACCCACAGCCAGTGTCCCGAGGGCCAAGGGACTTAAGGCGCTGGTGGGGAAGTGGGCGTGACCGGATGGGGGAGTGGGCAGGGCCTAGGTGCTAGTGGGCGGGGCCGCGGGGAAGAGTTGGAGACCTGCGCACCTGACCGCTGGTGGGGACTAGGCGCGTGGTGATGGTGTCCTGCGTTGGCGTTAGGAGCCTTCAGTCTGCATCCTACCGAAAGCCGACCAAAGTGGTCGAGGTCAGACAGACTCCAGGCTGCGGCTGCCCACAGACACCTCAGGAACACCAGGGGGCGTGAGGGAGAACCAGTGACATCGCTCTCAGCGTGCTGTCCCTCCTCTCATGGTCAACAAGTCATTCAGAGATCATGGCCTTAATCAGGCTCCTGGAACACAGCAGGCACTTCTTGAGGTCTCATCTATTGTCTCCAGGGTTTCTTTATGATTCCAGATGCTTCCCATCTCAGTGTTCTCCCTCTCTCATCTCTTCTGTTCTCTCCCTCTTCCTCTCTCCCTTCCACCACACCACAAAACTTCAAAACTAACAACACAACCGGGTACTTTTTTCAAGCGCCCTATTTCTTCCTGTCCCTAATGGTTATTTCAAAAACTCTTTTTAATTCAAGGGATTTCAGGCCCTTGTGAAGTCCTTAAAATCCACTGCTCTTTGTTTATTCTGATAGCCCCCTTTGAAAAGGGTATAGGAAGCGTTTTTTGAGCCTCAGACATTTTTTTTCCCCTGAGGTAAAGGTCAACCCAAATCAGCCCACCTACCCTCTCCTTATAGAAGGCCTTGGACACTGTTCCCTGCATGAATAAGGTGACCATGTTTTTTATTCGCCTGGGACAATTCCTGTTTGGGTCTGTTGTCCCAATATCACACCAATCTTGGACTTGTCCTAGACAGGTGAATTTTAAATTACATGACTATGGTATCCACAAAGCCATTTTTTGAGTAGTTAGTTTGAAGGTGTAGTGCTCTTCCTTTCAAAAGGATTAACTCCTTTGAGATACTCTGGACCAGGTGATACTTAGAAGCTGCCTAGTTAGGAATGACACTCCCCTTACATTAGGAGTGGGTCATTCCTAATGACCTATATCCTAGTACACAACTGTTAAGTGGAACTCAAAATTACCAACACAGAGCTCAACTCACCTTATCCAAACACAGATCTGAATTCCATTGTCATTAGGTTCCCCTTCCCCAAGTGCACACCTCTCTTTTATGCTACCACTTTGTAGTATAATTATCCCCTACTAATGTGAGCTGCATGGGATAATACCTGACTCATAAAAGAAATACAGAGAGCTCATCATCAGACACAGTGTATTTTAGCACACACAGCTCCCAGAAATCAAAATACATGTGTAAGATAGCACTTCATGAAAACAGACAGGATACCAAGGTAAAACTGAATACTGATGTAAAAGTATTTGATGAGTGAATATTAGGTATATAACTGTAGATACATTTATAACACTCCAAGAAAGTGATCTAAAAAAGGCCATATTTGGTAATTTATAGAATATAGATAGTTGCTGTTGAAGACCTTTTTCTTTGGAGAAGACATGATGTGGGTTTATCTTCATTTTTCATCAAGGGATGTGGCTGGAAGTGCTTAAGTACCAAACTACTCTCTGGTGATTAAAATAACTCAGAGCAGGACCTCTGATTCCTTCTTTATTCCCAGGTTCTTTCTTGTTACTGCTAGTTTCATCAAACAGTTCTCTTCGGTGTTGTAATACATGTGAAAAAAAATCAACTATGGAAACACTAAAAGGTTAGAGCTCCCATGCAGTAGTTGACTAAATTGAGAATTATCTTACAACTCCAGAAAGTAAGAAGTACTATCTTTTACCACCTCAAATATTTGAGAGTTAAATTTGGGCATCTCTTAACACACCCTCCTTGGGCTCTCCCAGAAGGTGGGTATCCACCACCCTGCACAGGTACAGAAGGTTCAGGAGGGATGTTGAGTGATGGAATCACTGCCCTGCCAATATAATTTCCTGTGACAAAGTCAATATTTAATGTAAATTACATTAGGTATTAGTTATATTTGATATAACACATAGATGGTATTTAGTAATTACGTAGAAAGTAGATGTTTGACATAGGGCAGCCAATAATAAAAATACTTAAGTATATTTTCTTCTCTTTAGTCCCTGTATTCCTCTTCGTAACTCCCTGAGAGGTTAAAAGAAAATATTGAACTTGAACTCAGTTCCCCCTTACATATGACCCATTATTGTTAAAATGTAGTTTACTGAAGAACAGATAATTATTGTGATTTCTAATATCTTTCTAGACTCAGTAAAATCCTATTTAGAAGATTCTCTTGGGCTTCCTTTATTCATCTGTTAATCATAAAAATAATAGAATTAGAATGAGCTTCATAAGCTAGAACTATATTTTGAATCATATTTAAGAAAGAGAAATAGAAGGAACTGAGGTAAAGATGCTAAGCAGAGGTGTAGCATTTTCTTAAATGAATAACCCATAATCTACAAACTGCTAAAGCATCATATAATCAGAAGGAAAATATAGAATGCAGTCTGAGGACATATTAACCTATGACCTGGGCAAGCCACTCAATTCCTTATCTATAAAACAGGAAAAATATTACCATCTTGTTTTTTAAAAGTTGCTTGGAGACTCAGATAAGGTTTGCAAAAGTGCTTTATAAACTGGCTTTCCCACAAAAACATAAGCCATTACTAGAGGTAAGAAGACACATCCTATGGAGGACCTGCAGAACACTGAGACCTGAATGGGAAAGCTTGTATATGTTCGGGAATGACAAATCATATCTAGAGTATACCTTAAAAAAAAGAAACTCCTACAAGCTGGTTATGGTGGTGCACTCCTATAATTCCAACTACTCAGAAGGCTCAGGCAGAGGATCACAAGTTTGAGGCAAACCCAGGCAACTTAGCCAGACCCTGTCTTAAAGCAAAAAGGGGCCAGGGATGTTAGCTCAGTGGTAGAGCAGTTGCCTGTCATGCGTGAGGCCCTGGCTTCCATCCCCTTTACTAAAACAACAACAGCAATGAAACTTCTTATAAATCAATAAAAATCCAGTTGGAAAATCACCAAAGATAAAATAAAATATATTGGTAGGACAATGAATCCAAATAGACAATAAAATATGGAAGACTACTCAACCTTATTATTAGCCTGTAAATTGCAGATTAAAGTCCCAAAGATAATATTTTGTAGTCACCAATAATAATAAACCTGACAGTACTAAGAGTTGGTGAACTTGCAGATCTGAGGGATATTACATATTGGTGGAAGATATGTGAATGGGCCTAATCACTTTGGAGAAATTTGGAAGTGTCTTGTAAAGTAGAAAAATGTGGATATAGCAAATTCCACTCATAGTATGTATCCTTTGGGAAATTCTGCTAATTTTTACTAGCAACATTACTTTTAAGAATGTTAAAAACAATCCAAGTGTTCATTTGAGGAGCATGAATAAATTGTGATGCAGTACCAGTGGAAATACATATATCTTTAAAAAAGAACAAATAATAGTATATGAAATAATATGGGTAAATTTTTGAAACACTGAATGAAGTAAGCTAGTTTCAGAAGAGTACATATGATATAACTTTTTGAATCACAATAACAAGAGAACTGAAACAATATTGTTTATGGCACAGCACAATGATGAAAGTCTGTATTTAACAAATAATGCTTTGTTTTGGGTTGGATTGAATGTCCCTTAAGGCTCATGTGCTAAAGACTTGGTACTCAGTGCAGCAGTGGTCAGAGGTGGGGTTTTTGAAGCATGATTGGATCATGTGGTATCTGACTTCACAATTCTATTCATAGATGTTCATAATTGATAGCATTTTTGGAAAAGTGTAGAAAACTTCAGGGGGTATGGGCCTTACTTGGAGCTCGCCACTCTGTCTCTTTCTCTCTCTCTCTCTTCCTTCTTCCTTCCTTCTCCCCCTCCCTGTCTCCCCCTCCTCCTTCTCTTTCTTTCTTCCTTGTTCTCTCCTTTTAGCTCCATGAGGTGAAGCAGCTTTTCTCTTGCTATGACCTTCCACATGATGTTTCTGCCTTGCCATGGATTTAGGGCCTAAAAAGCAATGGAATTCAAATGGAGTTCAGCTGACCATGACTAAAACCTCTGAAACTGTGAGCCAAAATAAATCTTTCCTTCTTTAAGCTGTTTTTCTTGGGTGTTTTTTGTCACAGCAATGAAAGACTGACTAACAGAATGCTAAAAACAAAATTTCGGAATTAGGCTGTCTTCTGGGAGGGAAGGCAAGAGACAAGATAAGGCAGGAACTGCAATACAAAGCTACTTTACTGGGTCAAGGTTTTAATCAAGTTGGGTGGATAAACATAGGTCTTCATTTTAAATGTTTACATGACTTACATATATAATTAGTATTTTATATACATCAAACTTTCATAATAAATTAATTTCAATATGTAGAATATCCTTTCAAAAGTTAAACAATAGTGAATCTATAGCATTTAAAAAACTTACTTGCCAAAATAATATCTTTTGGCTTCCAAATTTGACTTGACATGGATCCATCTCCGGTAACATTATTAATTATTTGAAAAGCCTGGGAAGCCAGGCTGTATTGATTTGTTGCCGTGCCAGAAAGAGGTGCAGAAAAGAATTGGGCTCTGTGAATTTTTCTTGACCACTTAAGAACCACAGTTCGGGAAGTAGTTGGGGGGTTTGGGGGTCCAGAGGCCATGAAGTCTTTCAGCAGGTAGGGGACAAAATTAAGTGCTATTGAAGTTAATTTACTTGCCAATGAATCCTGCATTTAACACATAAGCCTGAGGACATTTCAGTGACATTTAGTAATCAGAATTACTCCTACTGACCAAGCAAATCTGTCAGAAGGAAGATTGAATCAGTTGATCTTCAACTGGACAATTGACTTTCCCACGGTCTGAAGTTTTAGGAGTTAATTGTCAATATCTTCACTTAGGTTTCCTGTCCTTAAATTGATGGGTCCAACTTACCTGCTTGCTAGGCCTCACATTGCCCTCCCTTTCCTTCACCACATGTCTCTTTCCCATTTGTGTCCAAAGAAAGCTGTCACTTATTACCCATCCTAGTACATTTGCTCCAGGCTATAAAAAACCAACGGGGCTGAAGCGGCCAATTAAAATTATTGGGCTTGCGTTGCTATGAGCAATAAAACCAGGAGCTAAATGCTTCCATTTATAAAGAATGAAAACCAGATGTATAATTGTTGA